TGGCAGGACCTGTCCTCATTTCAGAGGTTCCCTCTTGCTCCATGACCACCCCAGAACCCATTTTTCAGCCCTCCCTTGGTTTGGGACTTCACCTCCTGGTGCCAGAGCTGCTGAGCTCTGTGTCAAACGTGCCCTGCAGTGGGTGGTACCTCAAAACACTTCCTCCCACCCCACAAACAAAATATTTACCTACATCCTCAGCCTGTGCCAAGGAGAGCAGCTGTTTGAGATAAACCAGGGATGGACCCAGTCCCCAACATGTGCCATGAGCCTGCTGGCACCGTGAATCACCCAGCTGAGGGGTTTGCTCCACCTGCCCTGGGTGTGAGAAGCTGGCAGGAGGCTGAGGGGCAGGGCAGGGCTGGGCTGGGCTGTCCCAGTGGGACAGAGCAGCAGGAGTGGCTCTGGGTGCTGAGTGAGCTCCAGGGTGAGGTGCCACAACCCCAAAATCCAACCTCCACCTCGTGTGCTGGGAATACCAACAGCAGGGACTGTGCAATCCCTGGGTTTGGCCTCTGCTTCGGCCTCTGCTTCAGCCTCCTCCTCCTCCATGCTGCTCTTCCCATCTCCTTCTGCTGCCCTGAGTGTCACAGGAACATCCCCTGAGCAGTGGATTTTGGGATTTCTTCTCGTTGTGTCCCACAGCACAGCCAGGCTGGAAAGAAGGAGAACTTTTCCCTGCATCTCCCACCACAGCCAGGCTGGAAAGAAGGAGAACTTTTCCCTGCATCTCCCACCACAGCCAGGCTGGAAAGAAGGAGAACTTTTCCTGCATCTCCCACCACAGCCAGGCAGGAAAGAAGGAGAACTTTTCCTGCATCTCCCACCACAGCCAGGCAGGAAAGGAGAACTTTTCCCTGCATCTCCCACCACAGCCAGGCTGGAAAGAAGGAGAACTTTTCCCTGCATCTCCCACCACAGCCAGGCTGGAAAGAAGGAGAACTTTCCCTGCATCTCCCACCACAGCCACAACAGGGCACAGGGAAGGGAATGTCACAGAGGCTGAGGGGTTGGGTTTAGCCTGTACCAACTTCCCTGGCAGTGCCTGCTCCCCTGGACAAGTCCCAGGCTGATGGTGAGCAGATGCCTTCCCTGCTCCCTCAGCAGAAGTTTCCAGGCAAAAGGAGTGGACTTCCATGATCCTTGTGGGTCCATTCCAGATTCTATGAAATTATTTCATCTTTTCCAGTGCACTTGGAGCAGGTTGCTGGCAGCCAGCTGGGCACAGCCACTCCTGCACCTGCCCTGGAAGCTTCATCTGCCACTCCAGGTGCTCTGTCCCCATCTTCTGCCCAGAAAACAAGGGCCAGGTTTCCCAGAACTCACACAGCAGCAAATCTCACATAGGAGCCTCAGGATGGGGTCAAACCAGGGCCTGAAGGGCTGTCACAGCATCCCAGAATGGTTTGGGATGGAAGGGAGCCTAAAGACCATTTAATTCCACACCCTCCCATGGCAGGGACACCTTCCACCATCCCAGGCTGCTCCAAGCCCCATCCAACCTGGCCTAGGACATTTCCAGGGATCCAGGGGCAGCCACAGCTGCTCTGGGCACCCTGTGCCAGAGCCTGCCCACCCTCCCATCAGGAATTCTCAATTCTCCCATCCACCCCTGCCCTCTGGCAATGGGAAGCCATTCCCTGTGTCCTGTTCCTCCATCCCTTGTGCATCCTCTCTCGCCATCTTTCCTGTCATCTCCCTTCAGGTACAAGAAGGTCACAATTAGGCCACCTTGAAGTCTTTTCTTTTCCAGGCTGAACAATCCCAGCTCTCCCAGCCTTTCCTCACAGGAGAGCTGCTCTGATCATCTTGGTGGCCTCCTCTGGACTCCTACAGCTCCATGTCCCTGCTGTCTGCAAGGAGCACAGAGCAGGACACTATTCCAGGAGGGATCTCACCAGAGCACAGAGGCAGAATGTACCTCCAAGATCTGCTTCTCTCCACCTGGACACTCCTCCTGAAGACATAAGAGTTCCCCTTTCCCAGAGAAATGGGAACTGTGCTAGGAATGAATCCCTGCCCCAGAGGCTGCTGAGTGAACACCAATCCCACAGGAACACAAGGACAGCCTGAAAACCTGCCCAGGGCCCAGGGAGGAAACTCTCCATGGCCAGACTCACCCCTAATGACAGCATCCTGCCCACAGAAACCTTCCCAAAGGCAACCAGCCCTCTGGCAGACAGGAAACCTTCACAAAATCCCCTCTGCCAAACACCTGCAGCACATCCTTAATGCAGCTGCATCAGCCTGCAAACAGCAAATGAACAATAATTACCAGGAATATACAGGAGACATCCATGGCTGACTAAAGCTGTGATGCAAACAGGAATATCTCGAGGGGGGGATGAGCTGCCTCTAAAATTTGAGGGGATTTTGATATTGGAATGTTAATCAGAGCTTGGGAAGCAAGAAAGCAGTATTTGAAACACCAGTGTTTGTAGCAAGAGATGGATGTTTCTAATAAAGGTTTCAGGGCTGCTTGGTCTCTAAGGAAGGGAGGTAAAATAACAGTGACAAAAAGCAGGTGAGGCATTGCCCTGGGTGCAGGCACACAGGAGAGCAACACCCATTCCAGAATCCCAGCCTGCTGAAGTCAGCACCTGGAATATTGCTGGAGCAGCACTCCCAGAAGTGGCCCTTGTCACCTGTCCCAGCACAGGCTGGCAGACAAGTCAGAGCTCTTCCAGTCACCCACTCTGAGGCTTCTGCACCTCATGAGACAGCAGGAGATGGTTCACAGGAGGAACCCAGAGCTGTACCAGGCCTTCAAGGAGCTATACAAAGGAGGGCAAACCAAATCATTGAAGGCTGGCCCTGTGTTTTCTTTGGTGGCAAATAAAACCACCAGACCAAGGGGATCAGCAGATTATTTTTAACCAAAAGATGAGGCAGCCCTCAGGTGTGATTTAAAAGGGTTGGTGGTTACAAAGGCTGAGAAATGCTGCCCTACATGACACCTTTTCCTAAAGGTAATAAAAAACCCTGCCCTAAACATTTGTAGGGAAAACCAGGCTGCTCCACAGAATGCAAAGTGCACTGCAGCAACCCAGCAGTGCTCAGAGCAGCACACCAGCTCCTCCAGCCCAAGGAAAAGAGCCTGGCAGTCACTGCCATGCCAGAATGCCAGTTCAGGTAGTGGCTACAGCTCCTTATCCCATTCCACACTCCTGACTCAACATTCAAACCTCCCTGCTTACAGGAAGCTGCAAGGAAAAACCCTGCAGAGATCCAGAATCCAAAGGCATGTTTTTCAATTCTTTATCAGCAGAGTTTTTATTTACTATTTCCACAGGAAGCTGAAAGTGTCAAGAGCCACCCCAGAAGGCAAAGCCAAAGCCAAGAGTGTAATTCCATTTGTTTTCTTTCTCCACTCTCAATTCCTGACCCCCGTTTAAGGACTAGAAATTTAATACAGCAAGAGTAGCATTTACAAAAACTTCCTGTTTTTAAAGGCAACCAAAAAAAGGGGCTAAAGACATTGTGACATCCTCACTCCTTGATCTTACAAATGTGCTTATCACAGGAATTATTCAGGTTGCAAGGGACCTCAAAAACCATTTTATGTCACCCCCTGCCATGGGCAGGGACACCTTCCACTGTCCCAGGGTGCTCCAAGCCCTGTCCAACCTGTCACATCATAACCTCCAAGAAATCAGATGTTGCAATATTCTTACATGCAGGTCGTGTAGAGCAGAAACTTTTTTTTTTTTTGTGGTTCCTCAGAATGACTAAAGGACTAATTTGCTCTCAGAGTAGGATGGAAGAGATGTGTTCAGAAGAAGAACCTGGCACTTCCAGGGATCCAGGGGCAGCCACTTTGCTTGTGCAAAGCACTGTCAGAAGGAACTGCAGAGTGATCTCTTCCTTAAATCCAGGCTTGTACCCAGTTCCCTCATTTCTGTACCTCAACAGAAGCTGCACAGAGTGCACAGTGACACCCCTGGCACACAACAAGAGGAATTAACCCCAGAGGAGTTTTAGGGAGCAGAGCAGCCCAGCTCCCACCTGGGCATGGCAGGGCAGGCTGGCAGGAGAATCCTGGACAGCAGAGCTGGGAGAGCAGCAAGGCAGGAGAGGGGATGAAGCAGCTGCCAGAGATAACAATGATATCCCTGAAACGTCTCAAAAAAAGGCACCTGGGTAGCTGGGGAAGAAATGCTCAACAAGTTGAGCACTCCCCTCTACTGATGGGAGCAGGGAGAGAATACAGTTAAGGTGGCATGGAAGAGAACCACAGAACCCTGGAATGGTTTGGGTTAGAAAGACTTTAAAGCTCATCCAGTCCCACCCCCTGCCATGGCAGGGACACCTTCCACTGTCCCAGGCTGCTCCAAGCCCTGTCCAGCCTGGCCTTGGACACTTCCAGGGATCCAGGGGCAGCCACAGCTGCTCTGGCAATTCCAGCCCAGCCAGGAATTCCCAGTTCCCAATCTCCCACCCATCCCCGCCCTCTGGCACTGGGAGCCATTCCCTGGCTCCTGTCCCTCCATCCCTTGTCCCCAGTCCCTCTGCAGCTCTCCTGGAGCCCCTTCAGGCCCTGCCAGGGGCTCTGAGCTCTCCCTGGAGCTCTCTCCATATGAACACCCCCAGCTCTCGCAGCATTTCCACCTAGGAAAGCTCCCGCAGCCCTCGGAGCATCTCCGAGCCCTCCTCCGCGCTGTCCCCAGCAGCTCCACTCCCTTCCCACGCTGGGCACCCCCGACCTGCCCACCGAGCCCGAGCCCAGCCCCATCCCGCTGCCCCCCGTGCCCACCTGGCAGAAGCAGCTCGGCTCTGCGCCGCGGGGCAGCAGCGCCAGCAGCCCCAGCAGGACGAGCCGTGCCCGCAGCCCCGGCAGCGCGATCGCCATCGGTGCCGCCATCTCCGTGCGCGCCCGGGCCGCAGCTCGGCGGGGCCGCCCCGCTCGCACCGCCCCGCCCGGGGCGCGGCCCGGCGGCGACGCGCGGAGCCGCACGGAGCCAGGGCACGGAGCCGCCGCCTGCGGGACACACCGCGCTCCGCCGGCCCGGGTTTGAACGGGAAATAACAATGACATGGTAATAACAGTCATTATCCGGCTTGTCGGATTAAAGGCTTTTGGGGTTTTTTGTTGTTGTTTTGTTGTGGGTTTTTTTTTTTTTACTCAGAGGCGTTTTGAAAAGTTTTATTCTTTTTTTAGTTTCGTTTGAAAGGTGAGATAATGCAAATGTTATAATTCGCGCTATTACAATCAGAAGCTATTTATTTATTAATTACACTATATACATATGATACTATATTATATTAATCATATTCTATTAATTACTATATATATTATTCTATTAATTACTATATATAATAAAATAATATACTTGATATATATTATATAATATACGTAATATATTATATATAATATATGTCTATTATTATATGTATATATAATGTACATATATTATATTATATTATATTAATTGCATAATATAATATAATATAATATAATATAATATAATATAATATAATATAATATAATATAATATAATATAATATAATATAATATAATATATGTGAATTATTATATGTACATATAATGTACATATTATGTTCTATTCTATTTATTGCTATATATAATAATATATGTAATAGAATGTAATATATGTGTATTATTATATGTATATATAATGTACCTATTATGTTATGCTATGTTATATTATATTACAGTGTATATTTCTTAATTACACTCTATAATACACTGTAAGCATTTCTTGGCCTATCAGTTTTGGCCCCACCATCCTGTAAATGTTTTAAAGCTAATCATTCAAAATTACTTTTTGTGGGTCTTAATACAATGTATCTTTCATAGTTCTATTTTTCTAAAGTATTTAATTTTTTTTTGGTAAGGCTGTCCATTAAAACTTCTTTCTATTTCTCTCTTAACAGTAACTCTCCTATTCTGTAACATTTCTAAATTAATACTTCTTACCTTAAAATTTATATACAAATACATACTATAGAAAAACCTTTGATCAGGTTTAAAAATTTTCTTCAAATCTATTTCTTACATGATAAAAGGACAACATTTCCAGTGCTGGGGTGCTCCTGGCCAACAGCCAAAGAACACTGCAGTGTGTACAGCCAGTGGTGTCTTTATCCTGTTACGTGCTGAGGTGCATGCATATTCATGTGTCTCATGCATATTCATGTGTCTCATGCATATTCATGTGTCTCATGCATTATTCAAACATTCTTTCAGACTTTCTGATGCTGTGGGAACTCCTTTGTTTGACTTCTTCACACTCAGGGTCATCTGCATGACACCCTGGCTGTCGGGTCAATGTGTTTTATTTCTTCTCGTGTCTCCATCCTGCTGGTTCACATTCTCTGATAAGGATTTAGTATTAAATTAAATTGAATTTAACATGGTACTCTCTAATTGCTCTGGTTTGTGTCATGGTTATCACCTGGACAGGTTGATCAGTGGATGGCCTTACACTGGTTTTATTTACACAAAAGCCTTTTCACATATAGAACAATACATTCATCACTCTATTATTTCCAAAAGTGATACATAGATATTCTATTTCTGTTCTATTATATTCATAGATATTATATTTCACAACTATTTCTGTGAGCAATACTTGTGCATACTTAAACTGATAGAGATTATATTATATTAACAAGCAGCTAAAAAGAGTTATAATTGATATTTTAACCAATTATAATAATTCTTTTATTTTAATAATAATAAATAAATTTAATGATAACAATAATTTACTTACAATCACTAACAACATGCAAAATCTAATGCATAAGTGCAAAAGCCAGTATTATCTGGTCATTTTTCATAGACACACAGTGGCACTGGAGGGACATGGGGCTGTCAGTGCTCCTGAAGCCCCACTCTGAAAGGGGGGATTTGGGGTGCAGCCCCCCAGCCCCAAGGGCTGACAGATGAAGATCAGATCCAAATTTTTATTAGCAAAAATAATAAAACACATGCAAGGTCCCCATTGTGTCGTGGGTTGTTTTGTCTCCACCAGGAATTTACAGCTACCAAGGGACAGAGGAGAAGGTGCCAATATAAAACAGGGATGTTCACTTTACAGAAGAAAAAAAACACTTCACTCCACTAAAGATGAAAAGCAATGCAATAATCCAGACCAAAGCCAACTTTAATGTATATTCACACATATTAATTACCTGACAGTGACAGCCAACCATTTGGTCCATTTGTATCATGGTTCATTTTTTGCCTTCACAGTGACTGGAGGGAAAAAATTAGAGAAAAAACAAATTTACTTCATTCATCTTCTGAGGTGTGGTTTGGAATTAGCCAGTGTGTTTTTCTGCCAATAATCTGATCACCAATGCTTTAATTCTTTGCTCCTCAAAATCATTAAGCAGATTTAAATTACAAAAGCTTATTAGTTTGAGGGCTGCCCCATCCTGGCAGTGTCCAAGGCCAGGTTGGACAGGACTTGGAGCAGCCTGGGATGGTGGAAGGTGTCCCTGCCATGGCAGGGGGTGGGATCAGATGGGATCTAAAGTCCCTTCCAGCCCAGTCTGGGATTCCAGGACACCAAACCTTCCAGGTTTCACCCAGAGCAGCTCCACTCTGAGGCAGAGCATGAGGAGAAGGTGTCTGATCCCTGCCTGGCACTGCCCAGCCAACAGCCCTTCCGTGGCACCACCAGCCTTCCCTGGCACAGCATTTGGGATGAGCTCCAGGGGTAAAGCAGGATTTGGGCAGCAGCTGCTCTGTGACTCAGGGCCCTTGCAGAGCCATGGGGATGGGAATGAAACCCCAATGTTTTTCTTGGCTTCCCCTTGCCAGAGGGCAGGGATGGATGGGATTTTAGGAAGGAATTCTTGGCTATGAGGGTGGGCAGGCCCTGGCACAGGGTGCCCAGAGCAGCTGTGGCTGCCTCTGAATCCCTGGAAGTGCCCAAGGCCAGGCTGGACAGGGCTTGGAACAACCTGGGATAGTGGAAGGTGTCCCTGCCCATCGCAGGGGGTGGGATGAGATGGGATTTAAGATCCCTTCCATCCCAAACCATTCCATGATTCTGTGACAGGAGATAGCTTTTCTTGGATTTACAGCCAGGTCCATTTTCTTGCCCAGATGGACAAAGGTGACTTTTTGTCCCTCCCAGCCCTCATTCCCAGCTGGCAGTGCTGACATTGGTCACTTTATTCTCTGCAGAGCTCAGCTCTTGCTCATCCCTCCTTGCTCTGCTGGCCATTGCCCTCTCAGCCTGGCCTCTGCCTGCCCTGTCCTGCTCTGATACCCCCAGTGAGGCTCTGTGGGATTTTCCAGACCACAGCAGCTGCTGGTCTGCCTTGGGAATTGTTAAAAATAGCTTAGAAACTGTTGTTCAATAGTTGATCGATGGTTAAGCATGTACTGTTCCTTTGGTTATTATATTGTAGAAGGGGTTAAAGGGGTAGTTATGAGAAATAAGGTACTCAAGGTACCATAACACACCTCAGTGAAGTGCACCAGCCCCCAAGCGAAACCATCCAGCCTGGACAGAGCTGTAATGGGCCAATCAAGTGCCTTAAACCTTCATGGAAATGAAGGATCCAAAAAGAAACCAATCCAAAAGGACAAAAACAGGATAAAAAGGAGCTTCTGACCCACTGAATTGTGCTGCTCCATCGGGGCCATCGCTGCTGAGCAGCCCCAGCGCCGGCGCTGCTCCATCCTTGAGGGATCGCTCCTGCCCGGCCCGCGGGTCCCCTTGCTCTAGGGCTTCCTTTTCTTATAATAAATACTAAAATCACTTTAGTACCGGGAGCCTGCTCTCGTTTATATCAGGAACGTCCCACAAACTGCCCTCAGCAGGAAATGGGATGACCTGTAGGGTCCCTTCCAACCCAAACCATTCCTGGAGCTCCATGAGGTCTCCCCGCACCTCCTCTACCCCCACTCCGCGGCCGCCCTTGAACCCACGCTCTGAGCCTGGCACAGCCCGTGCCCATCGCAGCCGATGCTCGTGACACTCGCGGCCCCTCACGACAGCGGCCGCCTGTCGCGACAGCCGCAGTCCTCCGCGGCGGCAGGGGGCGCTGCGCGGCGCTGAGGGCCGGCGCCGCCGCCATGGCCCTTCCCGGCATTCCCTATGAGCGGCGGCTGCTCATCATGGCGGACCCCAGGGACAAGGCGCTGCAGGATTACCGCAAGAAGCTGCTGGAGCACAAGGAGATCGACGGCCGCCTCAAGGAGTGTGAGCGCGGGCACGGCGGGCCCTGAGGGGATGGCGGGTGGGCGTCTCTGAGACCCCCGCGGGGCGCCGAGAGGGAGCGCGGCGGCCGCGGCGCTGCCCGCGCTTCGTCATGGGCCTGGCCGGGCCCCGGGGGGCGGACGGGGCTGGGCGCTGCCGGCGCCGCCGCTGGGTCCCGGTACCCTTGGGAGAGCTCCGGAGGGTCACAGAATCACGGAGTCATCTGGGTTCGGAAAGATCTCTGGGATCAGCGACATCCGCCTGTGGCTGTCACCACCTTGTCAATGGACCAGAGCACTGAGTGCCACGTCCAGCCGTTCCTTGGGCACTTCCAGGGATGGAGACTCCGCTGTCTTCCTCGGCAGCCTTTCCCCAGTGACTGACCACCCTTTCCGGGAAGAAATTTTCCCTAATATCTGTTGTATTGCACTAAATAGACACGGACTCTTACAAATATCCAATTTAAACTTACCCTGGTGCAGCTTGTGCCTGTTTCCCCTTGTCCTGTCCCTGTTTCCTGGAGCACAGCCCGATTCCCCCCGGCTGTGCCCTCCTGGCAGGAGCTGTGCAGAGCCACAAGGGCCCCCTGAGCCTCCTTTGCTCCAGGCTGAGCCCCTGCCCAGCTCCCTCAGGGATTCTGCAGCCCCTGCCCGGCTCCCTCAGGGATTCTGCAGCCCCTGCCCGGCTCCCTCAGGGATTCTGCAGCCCCTGCCCAGCTCCCTCAGGGATTCTGCAGCCCCTGCCCAGCTCCCTCAGGGATTCTGCAGCCCCTGCCCAGCTCCCTCAGGGATTCTGCAGCCCCTGCCCAGCTTCCTCAGCCTCTCGTGGGGTTCCAGCCCCTTCCCCAGCTCCATTCCTTTCTCCACATTACCTCAAGGGGTCCTTACTGGTTTCCCAGTCTCACTCTGCCTGCAGCTTTGCTGCTGGAAAAGGGTCTGGTCCCGTGCTCTTGTGTGGTTGAAGGTTACCAAAATCCTGTGTTTCTTTCCTCTTCTAGTAAGGGAGCAGCTGAAAGAGCTCACCAAGCAGTATGAGAAGTCAGAAAATGATCTCAAGGCCTTGCAGAGTGTTGGGCAGGTATGTGAGGCAAACGAGGTGTTGGCAAGCCTGTGCTGCCTGTTGAAGCAACCTTTACATCCATTTTAGCATCAAGAAAGAGAAAGTGGGAACAGTCCAGGTAAAACTGATGAGTTAGGGATGGCTGCAGGGTGTGTGAGTCCTGCAATGTTAATTTCCCTTGAGGCTGATGCTGTATTTCCTCTCTTACAGATTGTTGGTGAGGTTCTTAAACAGCTGACAGAGGAGAAGTGTGAGTACACTGAATTCTTATATTTTCTGAGATTGTAAAAATCATGGAACCATGGGATGGTTTGGGTTGGAAGAGACCTTAAAGAACATCTCATTCCAACCTCCCACTATCCCAGGCTTCTCCAAGTCCTGTCCAACCTGGCATGGAACACTTCCAGGGATGGGGCAGCCACAAAATGATAAGCTTTTAAATTTTAAATCTTGTTAAAGTTATGGAGAAGTAAAGAATTAAAGTGTTGGTGATCGGATTATTGGCAAAAAACAATCTGGTTAATTTAGAATCACAGCTCAGAGGGTAAATTGAGTAAATTTGGGTTTTTTCTCTAATTTTCTTTCTCCAGTCATTGTGAAGGCCACAAATGGACCAAGATACGTGGTTGGCTGTCGCCGTCAGGTAATTGATCTCCATGAATATTCATTTAAAATTTGCTTTCCTGTGGAATATTGGCATTGTTTTTCATCCACTGGGTCCTTAGTGGAGAGTTTTTTTTCTTCCTTAATGTGCACACCACTGTTTTACACTGGTATCTGCTCCCCTCTCCCTTTGTAGTGGTAGCAGTGAAACTTTCTGGTGGAGACAAAATAATCCACAGCATTCCTAGGACCTTGCATGTGTTTTATGATTTTTATTGAGGCAAAACTCTGTCCTTTTGCCTGATTTTGGACTCTCTGAAAATTAATTGTTATGAAAACTGATTGTGTAATTTCACAGTTGCTGTGCTGTGACTGTTGCTGTCATGCTGCTGAGTTTTAGATTTAATATTATTTTACCATATATCTTAATCATGGAATAGTTTGGGTTGGAAGAGACCAAAGTTCATCCCATTCCAGCTCTTCCATGGCATGGACACTTTACACCATCTCAGGCTGCTCCAAGCCCCATCCA